CATAGTTAATTGAGTGGAATGGTTATGAAACCCGTCAGACTCTTTTGTTATATGTTTTTGTGGACCTGAAAGTGCACAACGTTCAAAAGAATTCCTATCATTTTGATTGTATTGACCAATAAAAACGTTGCATTAATTTATTCCGTAACAATTTGCCAACAGAAAACAAAGGATTGTGCACTTTCACGGTGCTTTGAACATAAACTGCAGCACTGTTGTTTTTATCACTGATGTTTGCCGCTTTTCATAACCAGTCTCCTCTAATAACTATGCTTTCAGTGTCAAGAACTTTTGTTTCACTGTTTTGACGTTATTCTAATTTTTACAAATTAATGTACACTGTTAACACCCCACGACTTCGACAAAGCTAAGATGTATTTATAGCCTGTTACCTAAAGTAAACACCGAAAGCTTTAAAAATGGTTTTATGAATACGTTAAATTTTAAGTATAAATTAGCAATCTCTTACCTTTATTATTTCACTTTGAATTTGGAAGCGCTTGTTAGAATGCCTAGACATCCTGAATTTCATAGTCATCGAAGCGGCAAATTTGAATGCGAGCGCGCTTTGAATAGCCCAGAATTAGAAGAGAAAGGGCCCAAATTGGTCAAGAAGGGCTAGTAAAACATACTTTTCTGTTTTTTAGAAGTTGTAATCTTAAATTTCACGCACGGCTTTTTGGAAAGCAATGATGTATCAACACTTTAAGCCTTAAACGAAGGAATATAGGGGAGTATAAAGACTGTTTTTTTAAACCGAAAATTAGGAAAAATCGGTCGTTTTCAGTATGGGCGCCACTTTTGACAGCGATTTTCTGAACATTTTCACCAGCTTTCATATTTTCACGCGCGGTAAAAAAAAGATGGGGCCTTTCTAGAACAGAATCCGTTTTAATTTTTAAAATCGGTAAACGAGAACCACTGTTCTTTTAGACTTGAAAACTGCTAGTGGTTGCTGAGTTTGAAAATGGCGCACTTTGGGCGAGTGGGCTATTGTTTTAAGTCCACGAATGAATAACAATGGTTGTCAAGACTGACACAATGCCCATTCAAGAAAATCACTCAATTGTAAAATGGTCCAGAGAAGCCGCGAACTTTTAAACTGATCACGTTGCGTCAGCTGGTTCATTGCACCGGCCCGACCAAATCTTTCAATGAACATGGAAACAGAAAATGTCACGGATCGGGAGCTCTTTTCAGAGCTCTTCGAAAACCCGATCCACCCGTTAAAAATTCACATGGTTCCCCCATTTGTTGACGAAAGCAGTCCGACGTTCCATCTGCAAATTCATGGTGAAGAAGTTTACAGATGCAGAGAAATTTGTGGGAAGCCGGCGACAGTTTTCGACTTACTTCAAGTCAGTGTCAAGCCGCTTCGTTACCAGTTTGAAGAGTCTGCTCGAGATGGTATTGGGCACTCAATCGAGGAGAGCATTCGGCGATTTTGGCGAACGATCCAAGCCACGGCGGACGGAAAAAGGAGAAAAAAAATTAGAACTGAGACTTGGATTAAACTAGCCATTAAACCAGAGGAGATCAAGCTCTCGCCAAACGACGTGTTGACAAAGCTCACTGAGGAAAACGGCAATCTTCGCGCGACCGTGGAGGAAAAGGCGGCCGATTTATATCATAAAATGCGCCAGAAAATGGCCCACTCTGGAAAGGATTTCACAGACGTGGGAAAGAAGCAACAATATGACAGATCTACAAACTTTGCTGAACTGGAAGTAAATGTCCCGAGAACAATAGGCATTCTGCGCGATGCGCTTATTGGATTACCAGGGATATGAAAACTGTTATGACTGCGAAGGGTTTTGAAGATTTTAAGTTAACAATAAAAGATGCTGCAGTTTGGAAAACCTGTAGATAAAGTTGTTGACCATAGGCATAGGCCCTAAATGCACTGTTTTCGACTGGATGATAAAATTAAGCGCATACAAAATTAGAGCCACCACACAAGAATCATCTCTAGGCTTTCCTTCTCGGTGATTATATAGCAGCGGAAATTGGTTGGTTTTACAAATTTATAACACCTGTTCACCACCAAATCATAATCTACTTTCACTTAGTATCAGTACTTTTACCTTTCGTACTGTATTACTTTTTAAAATATCACTTGGTAGTACGTGTAGTAGTTTCACCGAAGTTGGTAATAGCACATAATCGTTACTATGGTGATCAATACAAAAGGCATCCATCAAGGCCAATGGCGGTTCTCACACTAGAGACGAGATCATCCGTCTCAGACGGGTTATCCGTTGAATAATTCGCGTCAGACGGATAATCAGTCTGTATGTGAAAACGGAACGGTTCTAATTTTGGACGAATAATCGGTCTGACTTTATCTGTCAGTTTGTCCGTTAGTTTTGACGGGTTTTGAACGGATAATCAGTCTCAAGTGTGAAAACGGCCAATGTGTGAATCGAGGCAGCAACCAAAGTAATGCTCATGTATATAGGCAAAAATCATTTCGGGTATAATGGTATACTACCAATCGCCCCTAACCAACTCTGATTATATATTGAACAGTTATTCCACGAGTGCGCATTGGATATGAGATGGTAGAAAGCCAACGCGTAGCGCCGAGTCGGCTATAATCATCTCATATCCAACAAGAGAGAGTGGAACAATTGTTTTATTAAAACGTCCACAAAATATCAAGAATTCTTCCGGACTTTATTTGTAAAAACAACCGATTTTCAGCTCGTTTTTAATTTGGAGCAGACGCATACAGTTACCATATACTTGGAGAGCATGGTATAATGGCTCATATACCACGATGGCTAAGCCAATCAGAGCTCTAGCATTACTTTATCCAATGATTCAGTTTTTAATAACGTTTTTTTGGCAACAAATAAAAAGCTTCAGGGCCCACCTAGCGATTATTCGAGACTCAGTGTTGAGATAAGAAAATAGATCAGGCCAGCTGTCACACTACAGGTAAGAAAAGTTAAATGTGACACAACCTAACTGCTAATTCGTTTCAACCTGTATACCTTTTAATTAAGGCAATGGTCCCATGGCGACAACACTCGCTCTTACTCGTAGAGCCAATGGTTCTACGACAGCTTGAGATCGGCAGCATCTGCAACGTAGTACATTCAGATAATTCTTGCGAAAACTCTTGTTGAGCACGCCGTGAATGAAGGGATTCAAAGCGCTGCTTATAGTCCCCAAAAACGTATATGCGATATAAGCCTCGGGAGAGAAGATCCATCTTTGAGAAATCGTGTCCAAAATGTCAATTGTTAAGATTGGAATCCAGCACAGATTAAAAAACACCACTATAACAAGTATGGTGCGAGCCACCTTAACTTCTTCGACGTTTACCGTGCTTATTGGATTGCCATGGAGATGAAAATTGCTATTGTGATGGCGAACTGTTGTAAAGATTCTAAAGTAGCAGTAGACTATAACACAGGTTGGAATCCCTATGTAAAGCGGAATACCGTAGGCCAAAAATGCACTGTTTTTGATTGGAATACAACATAAGAACTTTGAAGGATGAAAGACCATTTTGTTCCCAAGTAGCATGTAAATTAGTGGAGCGCAAATAGAATAGAACCATGTCACAAGTATCATGATAACGGTTTTCTTCTTTGTGAAGTAGTGGCGGTACTTTGCTGGTTTGACGATTCTGTAATATCTGTTCACTGCCATCAAGACCAATGTGTGAATCGAAACGAAACACAATGCAATGGCTAAGTAATCTTCAAATTGGCAGGTTGTATCGTTAAATGGCCAATGAGAAGTCACTAATGGTGGAATGAGTAATGCCGCTGCAAGGAAACCTCCTAACAATAAGTCTGAAACAGCGAGTGATGCTACGAACATGTTTGCTATTGTTCGCATCCGTCGGTCTAACAACATAACCAGGAGTGTAAGAAAGTTTCCAACAAACAGAAAGAACACAATAAGAACGTATAAACCTGATTCCACAATAACTTTGTCTTTCCTTCTTGATTTAAACTCTCTTAACATTTCTGCTAGTTGGTCCTCTGTGGAATCCATTTTTTTAAGCGTCAATCAGTTCCTTCTAGCAAGAAAAAATATACGCCACAAAGGGTTAAAAGAGTTCACTGAAAGAGCCGAGGTATTGTGCCAGGGGAAGGATTACAACTGATGTCTTAACTCGCCCACTATGAAGAATCTCTTTAAAGGAAAACTTGACAAGGAAACCTCGTTAATTTTATGAACTAGAGTGTTTAAGTAATATATCAAACAGGAGATGCAGTGTTTCATCACCAGATGAAACACCGAGAAGAGAGTTGAAAATACGACGCGCAGCGGAGTATTTTTGACGAACTTCGAGGTGTTTCATCTGGTGATGAAACACTGTGTCGAATGTTTGATATTTCTTCTCAAACAAAATCATTTTTGAAGGAGAAATTAAGGATGCAAATACTAAGCAGTGTTTCATCCGATTTCCAAACACTCATTAAACATTAATTTCCTTTGTATTTTCTTAATGAATTATTAATGAGTTTGAGAACTGGATTTCTGCCACTGAAAAAATTATTGCGTGTAAACATACGTTAAATTTGACTTTTTTGTCGTGTTTTACTTGTGTTACTATTACTTTGCAGTAGAAAATCTAGAAAAATCATCCGTCCAAATATTACATTAAGGATTTAAAATAGAACCACAATTGATATTTGGGTATATAATACACAAAGTGGAATAGAGTAACAAGAGATTTCAGTTACCTGTGGTTCGTTTAGGTTTTCTTGAAACAGCAGCTCCCTTGTGGCAGTATCCAAATCCTTGTAGATTAAAACTAATACCTTATAAAACTGAGCTCCGAGATCGACTATTGTCAACTACCTTTAGCAATATTCAGTCCTCGTGCTCAAAGTTTTATAGCTTAGTTTTAATCAACGAGGGGCAGGTGTTTCTCGGGGACACGTAAAGTGGATTCTGCCACGAACGTCAGAGCTAGCCCAAGCTCACTATGAGAGCAACATACGGCAACAATTATAAGGCGTTGTATGATAATAACCCTATTTCTCTATAATTGAGAGGAACATGCACTTTTCCTTTTAAGATTGCATTTTGTATTTTCTTATGTTTATTTGTGTGTTGACTTCTTTTCGGGCCTCTTAGAATGCCAAGAACCCGAGAACACTACCCTTCTAAGTTAATTAATCATTCTTACAGCAAGAAAACTGTAAGACGTTGTATGAGAAATATTCTTTGCTCACTAAATTAGCAAAATTTGCATTGAATATTGCTTTGAAGCTTACATTTAGCGTCTTCTTGTTTTTCTTTGCGTTCAGGCTGCATTTCAGACCTCCTAGGCACTGTTTAATGCCCTTTTGAGAGCTGACAGTAGAGAGAAACTATATTGTCATCTTTTAATGCATGTTTCGCTCAATTATGGAGAAATAGGGTAATTCTCATACAACGTCTTATAATTGTTGCCGTTATGAATAGTTTATTAGCTAAATAGGATAATGTTGTTCAGGGCTCTCATAGTGAGCTTGGGCTACCTGTGCAATTAAACGTCAGGCAGAACAATATTAAGAGTGAGTCGATTGGTGCACCAGGCAGGTGTGCTACATGCTATCGCTTTGATTTCAATGCAACTTGGCAAGTTAACTAGTCTGAAATATCATCCGTCTCTTCGCCCTACCCCCAACGGGTTTGCCAACACCTCAAATGTACATTCACACAATCTTAGAAATTCTGAGTTAAATTATTATGTCCCGAGACCCAGAACTGAGTCTGCAAAAGGGAGCCTACACTACAGGGGATCTGTTCTGTGGAACAAGATTCCCTCAGAGATTAGAAAACTGCCTAGTTTAAATGTTTTTAAAACTTCAATTGATGGGAAAGATTTTTCTAATACACCATGACCCATTGTAACTCTTATTATTCGTAATGTAAGTTTTTGTATTTTTAGCATTATAGTCAATAGTTCCTTAGAGTATTTTAGTCTAGTTTTAAACACGATTCCTAGGAAGACCATGTAAAATGATACGATTTCGTGTATAAATAAAGATTGATGATGATTGATGATGATGCCGCCGGTTTGAGGGGGAGGGGGGGGGAGGGGGGCGAGGAGACGGGTGACTTTTCAGATCAGACTACCAGTGAAAATGGTCTACCCCAAAACTCACAATGAAAAGCTGGGTCATAACAACATTTTTTGCCAAGAGAAGAGCTTCAAAAACAGGCAAAAGTAGGTAGGAAAATGATGGGAGGTAATTGAGATCCGGTTACGAAAGCCTTCCCCGACCCCTGCCCTCTTCGAATAGAGACAGTTGCAGACACTTTTTCAGCTCTCTCGATATATTCATTCTCAAAATCACATTTTTATAGTGGCTGATGAAGTTCAGTTGGGATGAAAAACACTTTCCACTTTTGAACTATTTTATTGTAAGAAATAACCCACAAACTGCGTTGATAAACATTAGGAAAAAACGCATTGCGGAAAAAAATTCAACTTTTATCTCGACGTTTCGTATGCTACACTTACATAAATCTTCAGAAGTAACCGTTGATGGAAGTAACAACAAAATTCAAACGCAAGATAAGTGACTAGGACAACAGAAAAGGTAATAAAAGTGAAAGGTAAGAGGAAAGGGGAAAATGTGCAAGGAAATTAGACATGCAAACTAAACATTAATTAAGATAAGGCTTTCCGCTACTCACTTTCATTAATAGTAGTGTTTGAATCCGTACTAGCGGTGTGTCCTTATGGTATTTTGACGAACAGGAAATTATTATTTTATTGCTTTTAAAAAACGGGTTGCTTTCAGTGTCAAGAACTTTTGTTTCACTGTTTCGACGTTATGCTAATTTTTACAAATTAATGTACACTATCAATACCCTATGACTTCGACAAAGCTAAGATGTATTTGTAGCCTGTTACCTAAGGTAAACACCGAAAGCTTTAAAAATAGTTTTCAAAATCGGTTAAGTTTTTTAGTATAAATTAGCAATCTCTTACCTTTACTATGTCACTTTGAATTTGTAAGCGCTAATTCATAATCCAAAATCAGACTTCCGTAAGCATCAATTTGGGTTAAGCAGATGGCTTTATTGGCAACTATTAAAACGAGGTGCAGCAATGGTTACTTGAGAGTGCGATCCTGCAGATAGTCACTGTGAAAACTTTGTTCGAGATGAACACAAAGACTTGGTTATGTTGTTGAAGGAATCACCTAGTCCCCATCAAAGCTCCTCCTCCAACAATAACACTGTCAATTAGGCCTAACAATTTTTCAATGCTTATGTCGGTTGTTTGTAGGTTCAATTATAACGCTCAGGAGACAATTACTTGCTTCCGAAGGTGTGATTATTTATTTATTTATTTATTTATTTATTTAATTACGCCGGTAGTGCCGACTACCTGCAGCGTAGCAACTTCAAACAATTCTCACGAAAGCTCTTGTTTGTCTTGTTTATCACGTCGCATAAAGTGGCCAGAAACGCTTATGCGATGGAAACCTCAGGAACAAAGATCCATCTTTAGAAAGTTGTCCAACACAGATTAAAAATACCACTGTGACGAATACAGTGCGCGCCACCTTAACTTCTACGTTTAATGCGTTCATTGGATTACCAGATAGATGAAAATTGTTATGACTGCGAATGGTTTTGAAGATTCTAAGATAACGATAAAAGATGATGCAGTTTGTTTGGAAACCCTGTAGATAAAGTTGTTGACCATAGGCCATAAATGCACTGTTTTCGATTGGAGGATAAAATAAGGCGCAAATGAAATAAAGCCACCACACAAGAATCATCTCTAAGGGTTCCTTCTCGGTGATTATATAGCGGCGATAATTGGCTGGTTTGACGAATCTATAACACCTGTTTACCGTCATTAAGGCCAATGACCGTTTTCACACGAGAGAGGATCATCCGCCTCAGACGGGTTATCCTTTGAATAATAATCAGTCTTTATGTGAAAACGGAACGGTTCTAATTTTGGACGAAAAATTGGTCTGATTTTTTCTGTCTGTTTGTCCGTCAATTTTGACGGGTTTTGAACATGCAGATAGTCAGTCTCAAGTGTGAAAACGGCCAATGTGTGAATCGAGGCAGCAACCAAAGTAATGCTCCTGTAAATTGGCAAAATTCATTTCGGGTATAATGGTATATTACTAATCCCCCTGGCCAACCCTTATTGTATATTTAACAATTATTCCACGAGTGCGCGTTGATATGAGATGGTAGATAGCCAACGCGTAGCGCCGAGTGGGCTATAGCCATCTCATATTCAACAAGAGGGAGTGGAATAATTGTTTTATTAATAACGTCCACAAAATATCGAGAATTCTTCCCGACTTTATTTGTAAAGACAAGTTTTTAGTTTTGAGCAGACGCATACAGTTACCATATTTGGAGAGCATGGTATACTGGCTCATATGCAGTGATGGCTAAGCCGATCAGAGCTCTAGAATTGCATTATCCAATGATTCAGTTTTTAATTACATTTTTATGCAACAAATAAAATGCTTCATGGGCCGACCTCTGCAAGATGATTATTCGAGACTCATGCAATGTTGAGATAAGAAAATAGATCAGGCCAGCTGTCACACTGCAGGTAAGAAAAGTTAAATGTGACACAATCTAAATTGCTTATTCGTTTCCATCTGTATCTTTTAATTAAGGCAATGGTCCCATGGCGACAACACTCGCTCTTACTCGCATAGTCAATGGCTCTACGACAGCTTGAGAACGGCAGCATCTGCAACGTAGTACCTTCAGATAATTCTTGCGAAAACTCTTATTGAGCACGCCGTAAATGAAGGGATTCAAAGCGCTGCTTATTGTGGCCATAAATGTATATGCCAGGTAAGCCTCGGGAGGGAAGGTCCACTTTTGGCGAGCCGTGTCCACAAGGTCAATTGTTAAGACTGGAATCCAACACAGAATAAAAAACACCACCACTACGAATATGGTGCGAGCCACCTTAACTTCTTCTACGTTTACCATGCTTATTGGATTGCCAGGAAAATTGTTATTGTGGTGGCGAACTGTTGTGAAAATTCTAAAGTAGCAGTAGATGATAACGCAAGTAAGAATCCCTACGTAAAGCCGAAAACCATAGGCCAGAAATGCACTGCTTTCGATTGGAAAAGAACAGAAGAACTTGGCGGGATGAAAGATCATTTTTTTCCCTCTTAGCAAGTGAATTAGTGGAACACAATTAGAATAGAGCCATGTCACAAAAATCATAGTTAGGGTTTTCGTCTTGGTGAAGTAACGGCGGTACTTTGTCGATTTGACGATTCTAAAATATCTGTTCACCGCCATTAAGACCATTGTTTGAATCGATGCAACAACCAACGTAATAATAATGAAACCTTGAAATTGACAGATCGTGTCATTAAAACGCCAATGAGAAGTCACTAATGTAGGGATGCGTAAAGGGCCTACACTCAAAACTCCTAGTAATAAGTCGGAGACGGCGAGTGATGCCACGAACATGTTTGGAATTGTTCGCATTCCTCGGTTTAACAACATAACCAGGGGTGTTAAGGAGTTTCCAACAAACAGGAACAACAAAATGAGCATGAATAAACCTGATTCCAGAATAACTTTGGCCTTGCTTCTAGATTTAAACTCTCTTAACATTCTCTCAGTTGGCTCTCCATGGAATCCATTTTTTTTCTTTCTTAGCGTCAACTTTTCCTGCTGGATAAAATATACGCAGGGGGTTAAAGAATATCATAAAAGAGGTATTCCGCCCGGGGGGGAAGGAGGCGGATCCCAAAATTATTTACAGCAGACTTCCAAACTAGGCGCACTGTTGATACTCTCTTGAAAGGAAAACTCGGCAAAATGAAAAAGCCCGATTTGTATTTTAAACTTGTCACGATTGTACTGCGCACGTGCGAGAATAGTTAAGAGTAGCCATATTGGAAATAGCATTTCCAGCGGTTCAGGTGCGCTATTAAATTCAATGCCAAATGTGACGTTCTTAAGATAAATGCCCTTATTTACAACATGGACAAAGAAGCGAAACAACTATTTGAGAGGCTGTCTCAGTAAAAACCTCCCACTCTATTTCGCATGAAAATAATTTTGCCTGAAACTGTGGCAAGTGAAAGCTTTTATTGAGACTATAACTAAACAAGAACGCTCTCAAAACGGCTGATAAGCCTTGCTTACTTGAAGATTAGATAAGAAATGAGAAGGCGATTAATTCTACACGAAACAGGATTTCCTCTGTTTTACACTACCTACTTTATGGACGGTCGAGTATTCTTCAGGATATTTACTTTTTACATCGTATTCGACGATTTTTTTCGAAACTGATTATTTAGTACGCGTGTTTGCGACGACCGGAAATACGTCTGCGGTCGCAGGCTATATGCTTGTATAGGTACTCGAAAATTCAAGGGCCTCGTTCGAGTAATAATTACATCATTGCCGGAGATAAAAAACGTCATGGACACGGCGCGTCCTTTGCGACTCATTTGCGTACAATGAAAGTTTACAACACCCAACCAGTTAGCTTCACCATCAAAGTTTTCTTGCTTGTATTTATAGAGAGTCGGAGGATTATTAAAAAAGAGCGTTTTGACCTAATGCGTATCTTTTCATTTTTTTTTTTTTTTTTTTTAAGCGTTTTGACCTAATGCGTATCTTTTCATTTTTTTTTTTTTTTTTTAATGCTGCAACACTTTATTGCAAACATTACAAAGTATTACAAAACAAAACCTAGAATAAATAATTAAATAAATTACACTACTTCATACAAAAGAGCCATGGTGGTTATATAATTAAAACTTATAGTAAGCACAGGAGAGATTTCCAAAGAGAGTGAAACTTGTTTATTAGCCCTTTGGATTGGAATATGCATTTGTGTACAATTAGCTTGCCTTTAACAAAATCAAAAAACAGGTCGATTTTAGGGGTCTTCTGTTCGAATCTCTGAGTAAAAATGTGTCTCTTTCCCAGTAAAATAAAATAATTGAAAATTAGAGCTCTTTTGTCTTCTGGATTGTAACCTGAAGCATTCTTATTATGAAGTGGTCTGAAAGTAGCTCGCCTTTCGCGAACTATTTATGCCCCTAACATTGAGCGTAATAAAACTTAATCTATGCATAACTAATCATGCTTGTTTATGGAAACGACCAGCTTGTGATAAGTGGCTCCCACTGCGCATAAGTTACAGAAGGATAACAATAACAACACGAAACAACACATAGAAACAGTTTACCTCCTCGAAGGAGTTCACGAGTTTGGCCGTGCGGGGTTCCAAAAACCTCGAACTAGCAACAGACTCAGCTCCAATTCCGATTAGATTTCCATGAAACGTATTATCTTTAAGTCTAACCGCAGCATTCTTCAGAATCTTCGTCTTATCCGTGTATTTTAGAAAGGCTACGTGGATCGGTCTTGGACTCTTTCTGTTTTTGTTTAATTGCGTCGAAGTACGATGAGCACGCTCAATTTCGACGTATCCACACAATGTTTCCAAACACACGTGCGAGGCTATGAAGCCTTGTATGAAAGCCACACAATTATCGCCTTCTGAATTTTCAGGAATGTTATAGAACACCAAGTTACAAGCTTCGGGACCTGTTGCAAAGATCTTCTACTTCTCTTCTAGCTACTTTAATTCTGCCTTCCGCTTCATACTTTCTTTCATTTCAGCAACGTCGTCGTTGACTGCGCATAAGCCTTTTTCAAGTTCAGTTACATTGCTTTTTATATTGGTAATATTGTGCTTAATTGTGGATAACTGATTGTTAATTTTGTCCAGCATATCCAGCTTTTCTAGCTTCCTCTGTATATCATTCAAAATGGCGTCGTCAACGAGCACGTGGGCTGAGGTTTCTTCCTCGGAACTGGACACACGCGTTCGTTTTTCGCTCGGTTTTGGTGGCATTGCTCTTTAAAAAAGATACGTGTTTAGACGAAAGACTTTCTACTCATTTGTTTGGGCGAAACCTATCATAAAGAAGGCTTGTTCAGGAGAACTCAGAAAAGCGTCTACTCCATAGGCTCGTCCTCGTTCCAGTCCCCTGCGTATGTTTTCATGCTGTCAGACGTGGGATTGTAAAAAAGAAACAAATGAACACTTTCTGTTTATATGTACGACGATCCAACTGAGGAGACTGGTGTAAGTGCCAACTTCAGTGAACGACCGAGCGAGTGACACAACAAACAAACTAACGAGTCCCTCATTCATCGACAAGGGGCCTTCAATCGACTGGAGCACAGATTACAACTTATATAATTGCTTCATAATGTGAAAACAAAGATGTGAACTGTTACCCGGCCGATGGCGAAAGTTGAAGAAGAAATCAAATGCAAGCATCTATTATACTGGTCGGGAAAACGAGGAATCGAACTTTTAAACAGCTGGGGCATGTCCGCGGATGGGCAAAAAAAGCTGGAAAATTATTGGATGAGATTCGAAAATTTTGTCAAGCCACACTCCAATGAGTTAATAGCAATGTAGGAGCTTCACAACCACCGACAAGGTACCCTCTCTCCGGAAGAATTTATGGCGAAATTGAGAATCCCTGCGAAGGAAGCCTACTATCCGATACAGCACAATGATCGATTCATGAGGGATTTCCTTGTGGTAGGAATGAACTCTGACCTTTTGCGAAAGGACTGCTTCAAAGTAGGAAATGCTTTCACCTTCAAGGAAGTTCGTGATATGGCAAAGTCAGAAGAGTCGGCTGACAAACAGCTTCAGCTAATGAATACCCAAATATACTCGATCAATGTTCCTAAAGGATATCAAGGCCAAGGAAACCAACTACCAACTCCTTATACTGGCTGATGTAAACTGCAAGCCTGCAGAAACTGTGACTGGGGTCCCCACCCTCGAGAGCAGTGCCCAGCGAAGAACGCTACATGTCACTACTGCCAGAAAGTAGGATACTTAGCAAAGGTATGTCTGTCAAAGCAAAAGAAGAAAAATGTGCATGAAATCGAAGCGACCAGTGATGGCGCAACTGAATCAGTACTAGACCCAAGCCAGTCATCCCGTGATCAAATGTTTTTGTGCCCAATTAGTGCAACAACCTTGACTAGCAATGTCCACGTTAGTCCTGTAAGTAGAAGGCCCTTTTAGAGGTTTGCCTGGCGCTGAGCCCCGAAGGAAGCAAACCCGTACCTTGTGTAAGATAGACTCGGGTGCAGAAACCAACATCATACCCAACCAGTCCCTGTACAACCAGCTTTGCCCTAGAATTGACAATCTACAGAGGCCCATTATGAAGTTAACAGCATATGATGAGACTGAAACCCCAAACTTAGGATCATGCCAGGTGTACATCAAGGTTCCTGACAACCCATACCCCAAGTCAGTAGACAGGCACAAATTGTTGATGTTAATGGCCCTGCTGTAATAGGCAATATGTCAGCACAAAATTTAAATCTTCTAAAGCAAAACTGGACGTTACTGTTGAGAGTAACAGCAAACCTGCCACTCAGTGCTTGAAACTGCATGAAATACGTGGCAAACCAAACCCGTCTCCATTAACAACAGTATATCTCTTGAACGAGTATCAAGATTTGTTTACTGGTGTTGGGTGTTTCCCAGGTCCTCATACCACATAGAAACCAACCCGAGCATTTCCTTAGTACAACACCACCCCTCCCCCCTCCCCTTCCCCCCCTTGAGGCAAGTCCCAGTCCAATTGCAAGGTGCCTACCAAGAAGAGCTGGAACGATTAAGGTATAAAGCAGATATCCTTGAACAAGTACACAATGAATACACGCCATGGGTCAACTCTACTGTGGTTACAAAAGAGCCAAAGGGATGAATTCGCCTTTGTCTGGACTCCCGTGACCTGAACGGAGCAACTCAACGCACCCCCTACTATGTAAGAACCATAGATGATGTCATACCCAAAGTCAGCGGTGCCCCCCATTTTAGCATCCTTGATTTCCGGACTGGCAAGTAAAACTTGATGACGAAAGCAGCAAACTCTGCACCTCCAGTACCCCATGGGGTAAGTACAGATGGAAAAGGCTGCCATTTGGACTTACCTGCAGTGGAGATGTTCCAAAAGAAAATGGACTCTGTATTTGGAAAGCTTAATGGCCTGAGTGGAATTGCAGATGATACTTTCGTTTATGGCAAAAGTGAAAAAGGGCATGATCAGCACATACTCAACGTCCTTGACAAAGTAGGGACAATAATGTACGGTTCAACCCAGACATGGTCCAGTTTAAAGTACACCAACATCGTTTTGGGGGTTTACGTGGAGCCCGGATGGACTGAGAGCTGACGACCTCAAAATTAAACAAGCAATATCAACGACATTCCCTCCCACAGAACCTTGCTGAGTTGCAGACCTTTACGGGAATAGTCAACTACCTGATGAACAGATTCTCCGCCATCATAGAACAGACCTCGGAACCCCTACGACAATTGATGAAGAAAGACACACCCTTTGTATGGCAACCAGAGCACCTCAGAGCTTTCCAGACTGTTAAACAAATCATCACTGAAGCACCTGTCCTAGCCTACTATGACCCAGAAAACGACATTGTGATCCAGTCCGATGCAAGCCGAAAAGGCATCGTTGTGCCCTGATGGAAGATAGCAAGCCAGTGTGCTACGCGAGCAGATCACCCAGTGATACAGAATCCCGATAGAGTAACATTGAAAGACTCTAGAAAAATGTTCCAAGTCCAAATATTACATTGCAGTATGTTGCCCAGTATCCGGTCGGTGCCAGTATCCCGCCACTTAAAACAAAAACTCAATGTTTGAGGCGCCCTTTTCAGTTCTCGGTAAATGAAGTACTTCAAATGAATGCTTAACATTTCAGCAGATGAAAGTTTTGGCGAGTTTACAACTTGCGAAACAGTTGCAGAAGGCGCTGCTCTGTTCAGGTGTGTAAACCTTTCATGGCCAATATTTACGCTGTTTACCGCGCAGCAAAACTAGTGCTGTTTAGAAAAGGGTTGGTAATATGTGATATTTTCAGAGAAACCTTTTTATATTTAAGAGTGAAGATACTTAAAGAAGTCGGCAGGTTCTCAGAAACTTTATTAATCCTCCTTGAAATTCAATTTTTTTGGAATAACGGAGGCCAGAAACATTCACTAAGTATCCGGCTAGTTTTTTCTTTGCTGTACAGAATCGATGAATTAGCTGCGTGCATTATCCCGATAATATTTATTTCATATCTATAATTAAAGCTTAGAACATATGATACAATCGGAAAATGTAATTTTACTCAAATCCTTATGGAAATTTTCTTCACTCATTCAGAGGCGACTTGCATGAGTTGATTTCGTGTACACGGCTTGTTTAGCGTGACCGGAAGCGTCGGAGTTGAACCGCGAATTCTCATACTTTCCCCAGTTGAGACTGCGAGAATGGGGTTGCAACGGTCTGAGAAAATGTATCAAGGAATTTATAGATGTAAGAGAGGAGGAATTAGTGCTAGAAAAGCAGGCCAAATGTGGGGACTGAGCAAGAAGAAATCAACACTGCAGGTCAGACTAAATAGGAGAGTGACCTTATACGGTCGGATTGAGGTCCCTTTGCCACTTTTCTTTTTTGGTTAACAAAAAAGAGGAATAAACCGGATGTCAGATAGGCTAATTAAGCTTGCAAACCGCGTTTTTGGTTTGTCCACGGATGCGTTCCTTAAATCAGGGAAAACGTTCCTAGACAAGGGAGTAAGAACTATAATACCATTCAACAGCCGCTCGCGTTCCCCACCATACCCCAGTCATTTGTTATGTTTTATTTCACGATGCTAGGCCCCAGATCGATTTATATTTTTGGAATCGATTGCTAGACTACTTTGCAAGTGCCAGAGAAGCTTGTAAGTCGCTTGCCTGTCGAAATTTATGTACAATTACGGTTATTGTGGCCGGATACTGGGCCAGCTGCCCGGATACTGGACAACATAGGAGTCTGAAAATATAGATTTCGCGATGAAAACAAAGGCAAAAAATTAAACTGTCTTTCGTCATATTGACGACTAAATAGATTTTCTCTGGGCCAAATTTCAGAACTCTTGCGACTAAGAAAGGATAGTTATTGCAATGTTGACTAAAGTGGCACGATACTGGGCAACGTACTGTAAGAATGATATAGAACCGCAATTGATATGGGTAAATAATCACACAAAGTGGAATAGAAGAATAAGTGACGTTCAGCTACCTGTTGTTCTTTTAGGCTTTCTTGAAACAGCAGCTCCCTTGTGGCAGTAGCCAAAAGAGTTACAGAAGCACCTAATCCTCGTAGATTAAAACTAATACCTTGTGTTAATAAAATGGCTGAGCTCCGAGATCGACTATTAACGAAAGCTGTTATGACTGAGAAGAATTGTGAAGATTCTAAGTTAACAATAAAAGATGATAAAGTTGGGAACCCCTGTAGATAAAGTTGTTGACCATAGGCATAGGCTGTAAATGTTGAATGCGCTACTGTTTTCGATTGGATGATAAAATAAAGCGCATACAAAATAAAGCCACGACATAACAATCATCTCTGGGGTTTCCTTCTCGGTGATTATATAGCCGCGGTAATTGGCTGCTTTGACGCGGGATTTATAACACCTGTTCACCTACCCGCAGAGCCAATGGGAATCGAAGTCACTAATGCTGTAATGGATAAAGGACCTATATTAACTCTTACTAATAAGTTTAAGCCAGTCAGAGCTCTAGAATTGCTTTATCCAATGATTCAGTTTTCAATAACATTTTTATGCAACCTGGCGATTATTCGAGACTCATGCAGTGTTTAGATAAGAAAACAGGTCAGACCAGCTGCCACACTACCGGTTAAAAAAAAAGTTAAATGTGACACAACCTAAACTGCCTATTCGTTTCCGTCTGTATCTTGTAATTAACGCAATGGCCCCATGGCGACAACACTCGCTCTTACTCGCAGAGCCAATGGTTATACGACAGCTTGAGAACGGCAGCATCTGCAACGTAGTACATTCAGATAATTCTTGCGAAAACTCTTGTTGAGCACGCCGTAAATGAAGGGATTCAGAGCGCTGCTTATAGTCCCCAAAAACGTATATGCCATATAAGCGTCGGGAGGGAAGATCCATCTTTGAAAAATCGTGTCCAAAATGTCAATTGTGAAGATTGGAATCCAGCACAGATTAAAAAACACCACTATAACAAGTATGGTGCGAGCCACCTTAACTTCTTCGACGTTTACCATGCTTATTGGATTGCCAGGGTGATGAAAATTGCTATTGTGGTGGCGAACTGCTGTAAAGATTCTAAAGTAGCAGTAGATTATAACACAGATTGGAATCCCTATGTAAAGCGGAATAACATAGGCCATAAATGCACTGTTTTTGATTGGAATGAAACAGAAGAACTTTGAAGGATGAAAGACCATTTTGTTTCCAATTAGCACGTAAATTAGTGGAGCGCAGATAGAATAGAACCATGTCACAAGTATCATGATAAGGGTTTTCTTCTTGGTGAAGTAGTGGCAATACTTTGTCGGTTTGACGATTCTATAATATCTGTTCACAGCCATCAAGACCAGTGTGTGAATCGAAGCGCAAGCCAAAGCAAAGCCTAAGTAACCTTGAAATTGGCAAGTCGTGTCATTAAACGGCCAATGGGAAGTCACTAATGTAGGGATGCCTAAAGGACCTATACTGAAAACTCCTAGTAATAAGTCGGAGACGGCGAGTGATGCCACGAACATGTTTGGAATTGTTCGCATTCGTCGGTTTAACAACATAACCAGTAGTGTTAAGGAGTTTCCAACAAACAGGAACTACGAAATAAGAATGAGTAAACCTGATTCCAGAATAACTTTGGCCTTGCTTCTAGATTTAAACTCTCTTAACATTTCTGCCAGTTGGCTCTCCATGGAATCCATTTTTTTCTTTCGTAGCGTCAACTGTTCCTGCTGGATAAAATATACGCAGGGGGTTAAAGAATATCATAAAAGAGGTATTCTGCCCGGGGATAGGGGGGCGGATCCCAATCTCGTTCCCAGAGGCGGCGATCCTTTTGGTCAGCGACGGGGATCGGGACCTCTGGGATAATCCGTTTGCCGACAACAGGATTCTTGTCGTCGTCCCAACTGCGCAGGCCCGAACCAATAAGTGCAACAAGAAGCAAGAAACTAAGATTTTTGTGAGGAGATTAAGTTTCCTCTCGGCAAATTAGGACATACGGAATTTCGAAAAGGCTGCATGATGCATTAAGGCCCTTGTTCATGGAACTATTTTCTCAAAGCGAAGTTTCGCTAAAGAAGGAGGACATCCTAAAAGATAGATAGATAGATAGATAGATAGATAGACAGACAGACAGACAGACAGACAGACAGACAGACAGACAGATAGATAGATAGATAGATAGATAGATAGATAGATAGATAGATAGCTTTACAATGGAACTAAAAGTTATCTGTAAATATATGATAACTACTATAAAAACCGTAAAATATAACCTACATTATTAAAAACTGAATCATTTGATAATGCAATTCTAGCGTTTTGATTGGCTTAGCGATTATGGTATATGAGCCATTATACCATGCTCTCCATATATGGTCGGTGTACGCGTCAGTTTAAAATTGGAAGCTAGCTGAGTTTTTTTTCCCCGAAGGATCGAATGGCGCCCGAAGCAAATCGTTTTAATTCATTTCTTAGAATACTAGAAAATACAATTCTATCGGGAAAATAAAAAACAAACAAAAAAGCCACAAGAGCTTGTTTGAAAGTTTATCGAAAAACACATGAAAATACATGGCACTAAAGTACCTTGACCAGCCACGAAAGAAGACAAGTGTTGTTTCACGATTGCGAAGCCACTCGCCGAGTCACTAGCCGATAGAAAACTGCTGCTTGTTTATCCGACATGAAGAATATAAATCACAAACAACCAGAATACAGGCTATGCAGCCGTTCACTACAGCAACCGAGCCGTCAGTATAGCTTCTTTTCTCGTTAAGCAAAACCAGCTGGTGGCTTCAAACAACTTCATAACAAGCGACCGAGGTAATAGTTTTTCTCCGTTGTTCTTGCTTTTGTAACTGCACCGAAAATCCAAATTCACGGTAATTTCGACGGCTGTTACTTAAAAATTCTTTTTCTTCACATTATCTTCCAGGTTATTTTAGCTGTCCTGCTGTGTAAAATCCTAGAATCTCGATGATGTTTTGATTTTTCATTCATCCAGTCCAGGCGAGTCCGTTCGCGCGTTGACAGCTTTTATAGACGTGTGACATGTGAATAGCGGAAGTCCCTTGTCTTTTCCGGTTTGTTCTAACAAAATTAGATTCAACGAGATTTTGTGGGCGTTTTTAATAAAACAATTATTCCACTCGCGCTCGTTGGATATGAGATGATTAATGCCAACTCGGCGCTACGCGCCTAGTTGGCTATTTACCATCTCATATTCAACGCGCCCTCGTGGAATAATTATTAAATAAAATACAAATGGAGAAGTATCAACACCAAAAATACTAATAATTAAGATTACTACTAATAATTAAAACTGTTCGCCCTAATAAAAGTGTTTTTAAACCTATTTGTCTTACAAATCGGTAGTTTGGAGTATCTCTGGCTACGGGTGCAATAAGTGGACCCGTTGCGTGGCGGCAGCAGTTCATGGAGCTTGTGGCTTTGGTCCCTTACAATTTGGTCAAATAGAGCATCACTCAAGGCCTTCCTCCTCTGGTAGTGACGTGATGTCTAGAGCTACTAGAGCCTCAGCATAGGATAAGTCGGGTTGTATTATCCGCAACGCGCGCTTTTGCAACCTTTCCATTTCATTAGATAGATATTGGGGCAAAGAATGATGAAAAACTGGGCACGCATATTCTAATACAGGGCGTATACATGTTGTATAGAAAAGTAGCATATCCTTGGGTGGAACTTTAGCGCGCTTTAGCTGTTTTAGGAAGTACAGGCGCGTCACAGCCTTTTTGCATATAGATTCTACATGCGCGTTCCACCTGAGGTTGTCCGAAACTACCACTTCTAACAGCTTTGCGGACGAGACAACTTCGATTTGCTTATCATTGATAGTGATATGATCTACAGAACTTCCTGATCTAGACAATGATATTCTCAGTTCTTTATATTTAGACTCGTTGAGTTGGAAACCATCAGCTTCCGACTGTCGTGCAAGTTCATCTACGCGTAACTACATGTAGCTAGTCTCGTTCTTCGATACTGATTCGACAAGAGTGGTGTCATCAATGTATTTCCAAAGAGTTGTGTCTGCTACAGAAAGATCATTTATCATGATAAGGAACAGTCAGGGGCCCATATGAAGAAATGGTTGGCCTTTGTGAATTTTGAGGGTTTTTTGCAATCATAACAACAATCAGCAACAATACACGGCTAACGTACACACGGCGTATGTGTCCAAATGCAATGAAGGAATTATTTTCAAATCGGAAAAGAGAGGAAGCTGTTGTGGACGAGGCTCATTTTCCTTGAACGGTATAAACATAGCTGTATATTTAATAAATGAAAATTTGTGATTTTCATTTGACTTGAGTTAACATGTTTCTTTTTTAGTGTATTTTTCATGTACATTACTCAGCTTTACTACCACACAAAAACAGGTTATGAGTGAATCAAGTTTCAAGTTTAGAGATTTGCATAAGAGTAGTTTGTTATTTTCCTTTGACTTGTCGGCCATGTAATAATTAAGTTGAATAGTCTGACAGAACATCTCATACTGCCTCACGTGTGTGATATTTGCAGGTATTAATGTAGAGATGGAGAGGTGGGGGACGGTCATAGGTGTGGCATTTGGACTCTTCTTCTATCCCCTCTCTGGAGATTTTTTTTCCCGCAACCAAACTGCGGTTTTTCTTTACATAGAGAGGGATATTTTACCTAATGTGATCAATTTTCAAGTTCCAAGGGTGGGAAATTGGCCAAAAAAAAGCTAAAAAATTTAAATGCCACACCTTCCCCTGTACCCCTCTGCCCCTCTATCCAAACATTTGAATCAAATTTGAGCTTTTAGTGTGCCTTTTTGCTCGCGAAGCGAGGTTTATAATCTCGTCGCGCGCGCAGCGCGCGTGTATCACACGAGCATCGCAAGGCCAGCATGATTTTCTCTTCCGCCTTGACGTCATCCAGAGAAGTGACGTCAAAGTGCATTATGGGTTTTCAGGCAACCGATTGCCGTCGATGACAAAGCTCCGGGTTTTATTCATGAAGAGGGTTTTTTCATATGTGATTTATAACAATGTTTACGGTCGGTAACCTGTGTACAGACGTCCCCCCTCCCTCAGGAAAAATCGGAAGAGGAGACGTCTATGAATCACCGTCGTTAATCGTGTTCCGGTATACATTTGCATGAATTATTTTGTTCTTTCGGTGACAGTTGAAAAGGCACATGTAGGTCGAAAAATAGCTCTGACGTCTGTGCACAGGCTAGCCGAACATCTTCACGCAATGTCCACCCAAAAATCCAGATATAAGATCTCTGATTACAGTCAAGCCAGGTCAAGCGTATCTCCAAAGATCCCATTAATGTATTTATTATTCGAAAGTTGAACCGTTGGTAGTTGTAGATTTCAGATTCATCTCTGTGTGCATTCTTGCATGCGTAATGAGCCGTGAATTCACACGCAATTCAGTTGCAAAATTTCTACCAGCTCAGTTTCCCTGAATTTGATGTAAATGTCGTCTAAAAGACATTTAATCCATTCAAAGATTTTCAATCTGACCAAATGCAGAGAAGTTCTCTTAAAATATTCACTGCTCATTACGCATACAGGAATGCCGATTTAAATTTGATATCAGTTACGGGAACGACTAACGGATTCAATTTTTCAAATAATCAATTCATTAATAGAATCTTTTTGGGGTAAGCTTGACCTAGCTTGGCTGTTAACGTTGGATTTTGTAATGCCTTCTCTTTTATTTACAATACCGACCGCTACAGACAGACGCATCCGCAACCGGTGCAGCAAACATCGGTGGTCTTAACTTCTCATGCCTTTTCGAGAGAGCCGAAATACAAATACCGGTAAACAAATATGATTGTCCACAAAGGCTGAGCTCATTCACCAATCACAACACCGGAAATTATTTGCGTCATGGCATTAACATTACAACCAATCAGAGGCTGTCCCCAACATTCCGGGGAAACGGGAACACGATTATCGTCGGCGATTCACAGGCGTCTCCTCTCCCCATTTTTCCTGAGGGAGGGAGGACGTCTGTACACAGGCTAACGGTCGGTGAATCACCACCCAATATCTCAGCCAAATAAAAGAGTACAGCAGACTCAACAACAGTGGATTCAACAAGTGGCTGGAAATCCTCGATGGGAAAGAATTAGAAACAAAACTCCGCAAGACCGAGAACGTCGACTTTAAATTAGGGCGAGTAACGGCACAGCGAAGGCAAACGCTGTCAACTAAACACAGGGCATGTAAAGAGGCAGCAACAAAATATTAAAATTACACTGCAAACAAAGCCGACGAAGAGAGGGAACACCGACTGCCGATGTTTCAGCAAAATGCGGTCAATAGAATTCGCAACGAAAGCGACGAGGAATCATCGACAAGCAGGTTTACAGTCAAAATTATCCGTTCTTCGATGCAACGATAGGCCTAGGCAGCAAGAATTACACCACGTGTAAGATCGACATGAGGAGTATCTTTCCAACGGACTAAGGACAGCCAATCAGCCTTTTCACCGTTTTACAGTAAGCTTTGTTTCACAATGAACAGTTTAGAACACCGATAATGTGTGACAT